AGGTAAGAATGTATAAAGGTAATATGAGTTGAGGTGAGAACACACAGCTGTTCTCCAGGTAAGAATGTATAAAGGTAATATAAGTTGAGGTGAGTACACACCTGTTCTCCAGGTAAGATGTATAATGTATAAAGGTAATATGAGTTGAGGTGAGTACACACCTGTTCTCCAGGTAAAAAGTATAATGTATAAAGGTAATATGAGTTGAGGTGAGTACACACATGTTCTCTAGGTAAGAATGTATAAAGGTAATATGAGTTGAGGTGAGAACACACCTGTTCTCCAGGTAAGAATGTATAAAGGTAATTCAAGTTATGGTGAGTACACACCTGTTCTCCAGGTAAGAAGTATAATCTTGACTCCTCACTGAGAGGCCGTTCTATGTAATCCTCCGACACTAGGGCAGTGTTCTGTCGTGTGTAACAGATAACAGAGGACTCAAAGCTGAGATCCCCTGTCCTAACTACCGCCACACTGATCTGTCCATCGGACTCACTGACTGTCTGGTTGTCCTTGGTAAACTGCATTGTGGGCACTGAAGTGAGAAACGAATTTGTATTACTGATTATTATATATAAAACAATGTGTTACATATAGTATATATTTTTCTGAAAGCCTTGAAGATACTTCAGAACTCAAGACTGAATCTAGATTGAATTATATTTAAATAAAACTCTCCATGCCTACAAGTATCGTTAATTCATATATCTTTTTCTAGGGCTTCAACTCAATCTTTAGGGTATATTTGGTCATCACCTGTCTCCTGAAATGATTGTATGCCTTTGAATGCACTAACGACTGTCTGGTGATTGGGGCTGAAGACAACATGGGGTAACTACTCACTGTCAAGGTGGTCATCGTGGATAACAACGGTAGCAGTGTGAGGTTCCACCAGCACACTTCCAGTGGGAGAGCTGAGAAACACTGTGAAGGTCTCATTGCCTTCCCGTCGGGGATCACCCTCGTCATCCATAATGGTCAATAGACATCTCTGTAGGGGTAAAACATTTAGGTTAAATATTTCACTTGCAACTGATTTGGACAAAAATGTGGAGATATATACCTGAACCTCTGTATTCTAGCTTGTAGGTAGTTATTGTGATGAGAACATGATATCGCTATAAACCAACTTCTCAGTTGAGGAGGTGATGAGGATATAGCTAGGATATTGTTAGAGAGAAAGTAGAGGTCAGGACTGTAACTAGTCAGGGTGTGGTTAAGGATTGGTAAGAGTGAAGTAAGGATGTGGCTAAGGATTGGTTAGAGTTAAGTTAGGTTGTGGTTAAGGTGTGGTAAGAGTGTAGTTAAGATGTGGTTAAGGTGTGGTTAAGTGTAGTTAGGATAAGGTTAAGGTGTGGTCAGAGTGTAGTTAGAATTTGGTTAAGTGTAGTATGGCTGTGATTAAGGTGTGGTTATAGTGTAGTAATGATGTGGTTAAGGTGTGGTTAGAGTGTAGTAAGGATGTGGTTAAAGTGTGGTTATAGTGTAGTTAGGATGTGGTTAGAGTGAAGTTAGGATGTGGTTAAGGTGTGGTAAGTGTGTAGTTAAGATGTTGTTAAGGTGTGAAGTGTAGTAAGGATGTGGTTAAGGTGTGGTTGAAGTGAGTAAGGATGTGGTTAAGGTGTGGTTAAAGTGAGTAAGGATGTGGTTATGGTGTGGTAAGAGTGAGTAAGGATGTGGTTAAGGTGTGGTTAGAGTGAGTAAGTTGTGGTAAGAGTGAGTAAGGATGTGGGTAAGGATGTGGTTAAGGTGTGGTTAGAGTGTAGTTAGGATGTGGTTATGGTGTGGTAAGAGTGTAGTTAGGATGTTGTTAAGATGTGGAGTGTAGTATGGATGTGGTCAAGGTGTGGTTATAGTGTAGTAAGGATGTGGTTAAGGTGTGGTTAGAGTGAGTAAGGATGTGGTTAAGGTGTGGAGTGTAGTAAGGATGTGGTTAAGGTGTGGTTAGAGTGTAGTTAGAATATGGTTAAGGTGTGGTTAGAGTGCAATAAGGATGTGGTAAAGGTGTTGTTAGAATGTGGGTAAGGTGTGTGTATTATGTAGAAAGGATGTGGTTTTAGTGTAATTTAGATAACATGTAACATGTAACATGTTATTAAGGGTCAAAGGACTAGACTGTAGATAGTTAGGTGTGATTAGGGGGACCGACTAGACTGTAGATAGCTAGGTGAGATTAGGGGGACAGACTAGACTGTAGATAGTTAGGTGTGATTAAGGGGACCGACTAGACTGTAGATAGTTAGGTGTGATAAGGTGGACAGACTAGACTGTAGATAGTTAGGTGGGATTAGGGGGACCGACTAGACTGTAGATAGTGAGGTGTGATTAGGGGGACAGACTAGACTGTAGATAGTTAGGGGTGATTAGGGGGATCGACTAGACTGTAGATAGTTAGGTGTGATAAGGGGGACGGACTAGACTGTAGATAGTTAGGTGTGCTAAGGGGGACAGACTAGACTGTAGATAGTTAGGGGTGATTAGGGGGATCGACTAGACTGTAGATAGTTAGGTGAGATTAGGGGGACAGACTAGACTGTAGATAGTTAGGTGTGATTAGGGGACCAACTAGACTGTAGATCGTTAGGTGTGACTAGACTGTAGATAGTTAGGTGTGATTAGGGGGATCGACTAGACTGTAGATAGTTAGATGTGATTAAGGGGACCGACTAGACTGTACATAGTTAGGTGTGATTAGGGGGACAGACTAGACTATAGATAGTTAGGTGTGATTAGGGGGACAGGCTAGACTGTAGATAGTTAGGTGTGATTAGGGGGACCGACTAGACTGTAGATAGTTAGGTGAGATTAGGGGGACCGACTAGACTGTAGATAGTTAGGTGTGATTAGGGGGACCGACTATACTGTAAATAGTTAGGTGTGATTAGGGGGACCAACTAGACTGTAGATAGTTAGGTGTGATTAGGGGGACCGACTAGACTGTAGATAGTTAGGTGTGAT